TTTAAGTTCTTCATGCATCAGGTGGGCAGTTGGAAGAGATACGACCTCTAAAGTCTTACTGATTCTAAGATTCTCTGGGTCTGGAGCCCATTGACAAGCATAAGGCTAGTTGGAGCTTTTATAATCTTTATTGATAGCAATTATCCCCCATGCACCTGATAGTAACACACTTTACCATCTGTAGTCATGAATGAGAAAGAATTTGTTTTAAAGTAACAAGGGGGAGAATTGAAATCAAAAAATTTCAAATGAAATTTGAAATGAAAAAACTTTAAAAAAAAGTAGACATTCTATGTGATACAGAGAGTATCTATCCCTCTAAATATATAACATGTATTGGATGGGGTAAAGAGAGAATCAATTTAGAAGCACAAAAATAAATAAGTGTTTCAGATTAAAAAGCACTATTATAGGAATGGTGAGCCATCAGAGAACACAGGGGCTGAGGAGGCTGCTGAGGCTCTGGAATCCCCTCTGGAGGGAAGGGAATGCAGTCACCACCGTCAGTCTCTGTCCCCACTGTCCCCCCAGGTGACCGTGGTCCGGAACTTGGAGGCCTATGGTCTGGACCCATACTCAGTGGCTGCCATCCTTCAGCAGCGATGCCAGGCTAGCACCACCGTCACTCCTTCCCCTGGGGCCAAGGACAGCCTTCAGGTGCAGATCCAGGGAAACCAGGTCCACCACCTCAGCTGGCTATTGCTTGGTGAGCATCCCCTCTGAAGAGCTGGAGGCATTGGTCTAGCTCAGCAAAGACCTTCCTGCCAGCTCTACTTGCGTAATACATACACACACACACACTCACTCCATTTAGGTTTTAGCAGCTAGCAAGAAGATGAAACCAATGTTTGAATCAGATCTTTTGGCCCCTTCCAAATTCAATGCTTTCTCTTCCACTATTAGAGTAGTTTTCTTCCTGGTTGGTCCCTTTTTATAAAACATTTGGTGAGCACCCACATTTTTGTTCTAGGCCCATTGCTGGGGTTTTTGCAGGTATCTCTTTTAATCCTAATGATGCTGCAGAGCTATTATCTGTTTTGCAACTGAGGAAACTGAGGCTCAGAGAGGTTCCGTGCCTTGCCCTGAGATCATCTGACTCTCGAGTGATACCACTGGGCATGGAACTTTTTTAGACTCCAGAGCCTAAGTTCTTTTTTTTTTTGAGAGAGAAACGTGCTCTGTCACTCAGGCTGGAGGGCAGTGGCGCGGTCTTGGCTCACTGCATTCACTGCCGCCTACACCTTCCAGGTTCCAGTGATTCTCTTGCCTCAGCCTCCTGAGTAGCTGGGATTACAGGCATGTGCCACCATGCCCAGCTAATTTTTGTATTTTTAGTAGATAAGGGGTTTCACCATGTTGGCAAGGCCAGCCTTGAACTCCTGACCTCAGGTGATCCACCTGCCTCGGCCTCCCAAAGTGCTGGGAATCCACCATGCCCAGCCTAAAGCCTAAGTTCTTTCTACCAACTCTGGGTAACCCAGCCTCCAGTTTGTCCTCGCTTCAAACCAGCCTTCACAACTCTACCTAAGTCAGCTTTTTTTAAACAAATATGATCATATCACTCCCTTCTAAAAAAACTTTGTATGCTTCTTCAGTGCCTTCAGAATTAACTCCTAGGCTCAGTAAGCAAGACCCTCCCAGCCTGAGCCCAGCCCAACCTCAGCCTTACTCCAGCCTTCCCTGCAGGCTCTCTCTGTCAGCTCCTACACCCAGTTATAGGTACCAGCCACCCTGGTGTCCTTGCAGTTCCCCAGATTCTCCTTGCCTGTTCACCCATGTGTGCTTCTACCTGGGCTATCCCTTTGCCTAGCATGCCCTCCCACACCAAGCCCGCCTGACCTCACAGGCTCACTGGCCCAGCCCAAGGGTCCTGGGAAGCCTGTCTGTAAATTAGCATTTTAAACATTGCTGATGTAGCATTTTCCAATTGTGTTTGTATTTCCAGTTAATGTCTGCAGCTTGGCTAATTTTTTCTAATGTCTGAACTTCCTCTTAGACTGAGCTGCTTGAGCCAGAAACCTTGCCTTTTTCTTACTCAGGCCCTGGCGTATAGTAAGTGCTCAATTAGGCAAATGTATTCCATGGCCTATGGCAGTACCTGGCAGTTAACTTACAGAGTTGAGCCCCTTTATGTGAAGAACCCCATACAAGGTACTGAGAAGAAATGTTACAAGGAAGAGAGAGGAGCACATGACTGAACAGACACGGTCTCTTCTGTGAAAAATATAAATGCCTGAAATACACCCAGAAAGTAGCTGTCAGTGGGAAAATTTCAGAAATATACACATCAGCCTTGAGGTGTAGGGATAAGTGGTTAGTCCCAAAGTTGAGTTTGAGCCGGGTGGAATGACGTTGTGAGACAAAGGGAACTACTGGTGGAGGGCCAGCTGGGGACCAAGGTCCTGCTCCGCTGAGGAGTGTGTGCTTTTTGGATTGTAGAAGAGTATCAGCTCCCTCGAAAACACATCCAAGGTCTAGAAAAGGCCCCGAAACCTGGCAAGAAGAAGTGACAGACTCTTTTGTCTCACATGGTGAATCCGGTGGAAATCCAAGCTCTGGGCTGGTAATTTTTATGAGCATTTTCAGCTTTTGCAAATACAAAATATAATTCTTTACAAAAATAAATTTTTATTCTAATCTAAATCTGACTTCCCTCTTGTTTCCTCCACTTAGCTAAAACATTGTACCAATTTTTGAAGTCGGAGTATTCTAAATGGACAGAAGAGGCTGCAGTGGCTGCCTTTCTGCCCATGTGGTTTCAGTGGTTTCATTCCTTCCCTGCTTTTCAGGCAGGCCAGCCCATTCAAAGTTCGGGCAGGTGGGGCCTTCCTGTTTTTAAAGACATTCTACTAAATATCCTACTACCTAATTAACTTCCTAGCCCCAAAATAGTTCCTTCACATCTCTAAAGGGTTAGTCACATAGAAAACAGAACCCAGCTGTTCTCTGTCATCAATCAAAGCAACATAAGAAAGAATTGACCCTAAATTGCAGCCCAATTTAGGCTAGGTAGAAATCAGAAACAGTACAAGCATATTAGGACATGGGTTTCTATAAGACAGTGATTCTTCCCCAACTGTAGGACACTGCCGCTAACTGGTAAATTTGTGATATAACTCCAAGATGACAGCTTTGTTACAGTAAGGGTTTCATTCAACACATGCCCTCTTCAGCCTCAACTTCTTAATGTGGAGGTCATGGAAGAGGTCTTTAGTAAGTCTTTAGAGGATCCATGAACTCCCTGAAATGGTGCCCAAGATTTTGTACGATCATTTTCCTGAGAGATGGACCATGCTTTTGTCAAATTCCCAAAGAGCTCACTTGATGCCAGAAAAATACAGAACCACTGTGCTGGTCCCTGCTCAGTTTGTGGAATCATTTCTCTGACTGGATCTCTCCTTGTACAATAGGAGGGAGAACTGGGCTAAATTCCTTGAGTTCTTGGGTTTTACCATTAAGAGACAGTTATACTTGAATTTACTTCCTTGTTTCTTTCTCTTCTGAGTTTTTCTCGAACTGAGATGAGATAAGAAAGACTTAAAAATATCAACAGTATCCACAAATTGCCCATTTGAGCCTTGAAAAGGAAAAAGGGAATGGGTTTGAAAATGTGTGTGTGGCGCCTCCTACTGTCTGTTATCAGGCCCAGAATAGGCCTTTTTACTTGTAAGTAAACTCCTTAATTTCACCAATCCTCTCTCTACTGGCATGAACTAGGAAAGGGATTTCCAGAAATTGAGCCAAACAGGATTGTGTTAAAGCCTTTGGCCTGCCAGAGTCTGATCTGAGTGCGTATGATCTGTATAGCAGTAGTGAACTATGGTCCTATGTGAATACAAGTAAAATGTAGCACTGTGTAAAGTTCTTTCACAAACTTGATTTGTTCTGCACGATCTTGGAGGGAGTGGAGGCTAAGAAAGGTCATGTCCTGCCTTGTTGATCTCTGCTAAAGACACAAAGCCAGTAAGAGGTAGGGCTGGGTGTAAAATGAACGTCTACCCTTAACTGTGGTTTGACCCAGAATTCTGCCATGACACAGTGCTGTCCACATCTGTGCACAGAATGGTTTTTCCAGTAACAGTGACACATTTGCATTGAGTCATCTTCCCCTTCCCCCTGTGAACAGAATAGGGACATGTCCAAAGGCAGAGTAGAGTCAGACTGTGTAACAGGTTATTTTTCCTATGTGCTAAGTCAAATAATCTATATCACTGTCAAACGTACAACTTTGAATTTATTAATCCTATGCTGTAACCATATCCGTTTTAAAGAAAAGCAGAAACTGCTTCATTTTTAGACTTTGGCAAAATCATTGAAAGATACAGTTCTTGGAGGTCTAGATAGATAACAAATGTTACAGATGTGCCCCATTCTGGGGTAATTTTATGGATGTTTGTTGGACATTCATTCATTCTTTGGACCCCATTTATTGCATTCTGTGTGATCAGTACTGGAAGGCAGGCAAGAATTTCTTTTTAAAACTTTAACATGGTTATTTCCATGATTACTGAGATGTTCCTTTGACGAAAGTCAGAGAAGGCTCAAGTCTGACTGTTTTGGTCATTTGAGCTAGCCCCCTTCCTCCAGGTGAAGTGATATTAAACTTTTAAAGAGCTATTCCTTTCTACCTTATTGTTAAATAATTTCAGAAGTAGAAGAATCATGGCTCAGCTCAGTAGCCTGTCCTGATGTCGAATTTCCCTTAGCTCCAGAAGGCCTTCCTCTTTCCCACCCTCAGCATCTCCGCCTGTAATCAGTCTCCTTGACTCTCCTGCTCTGTGGAGACATGGAACAGCTGGTCACCCAGGCAGCGCCCTCCTGCCTACCCATTTGGACAATTTCCTCCAAATTATTTGAACAGTAGCCTTCATTCCTCTGCTCACTGGCAAAAGAAAATCTGACTCCACCAAGAAGCGTGTGATCATCTCTGTTCTCACCCTCTCCCCTACTCCCAATTTCCACAAGATGGTGAAGTTCAAGGGAGACATTTCTAACATGAGTCATTTTTGCAACAGGCTTTTATTACTTTTTTTTAAAACCCCTATAAGAAAGACATTTAAAAAGAAAATATCCTTGAAACAAACACTTACACACTGAGCAACACAACCAGAGAAGGCACTACCAGCAGTTACTCCCACTTCTGGGAGGGAAAGGGTAACCTATACTGTACTTTCTTCGGAGGCGTAGACCTCAGCACAGGCCTTGGGTCTAACAGTGCTTTAGATAAAGTCTGAATTGTCCCATAACTTTCTCATTTCATAAACACCCTTATCTCTTTATATATAGCTATATGCCTTTATGTGTCTATATACATAACTTTTTTTTTCCTTCTCAAAAATAAAATAGCCATCCCCTTAGAGGGAGGTTCTCAGCAGCATTCACAGCGGTTGCAGCAGGAGCCATGCCTTCTATTAATGTTAGAGACATGCAGGACGAAGGGAAATGACTCTCCACCTGCTCCCTTTAATATACAGCAGGGAGGGAGTTTTTTTAAGAGAGGGAAGTGATAAGGCTGAGCATGAGATGGCTAACCAGGGTTTTTGTGGTTTAAAAAAATCTTAAGAGTTGCGAGCTTGTGTTGTCTTTGTAGCTCTGGAGACTATGCACAGTTCATACGGCGAGGGGTCAGCATTCCTTCTGGGATCAGGGGCAGTATGGACTCAGCCTGGGTCAGGGAGGGAACTTCTGAAGCTACACAAACAAGCTTGGGCTTGATCCCACCCAAGAGGTACTTGGGAAGGCAGAGGATAGCCAAGAAATGGTTTCTCGGAGGCTGGATTGGAAAACCAGCCCTGCTTTGAAAATTACAAGTCCTTCTCCCTCTGCATTGGAGTGTCTTTGCAGTCTTGGCTACTTGTTGGAATTGTTTGGCTAATTTAGGATTCAGCCTAAACAAGAAGCCAGTACAAATGTAGAGTCAGGAATCTGATCCTCCCTGTCAATGTGGTCTGATATCACTGATTGGAGTCAAAACTCAGGCACCCAGATGGGAGGGAGGTCTGTGACCCTCACACCGTGCTGAGCGCGGGCTCTCCTGGCCTTGTCTCCCACACCGCGGCCATTGTCCACTTCCTGACAGGAGGAGCCAGCAGCAGAGCTTCAGGCAAACTCACTCTGCTCCTATTTCTCTCTGAAAACAAAAAGGCACTGAGGTCGACGGGGAGGCCAGGCCCACCGGCTCTCTGCGTGCAGTGCTGGGGCTGGCCCGTGCTTCAAAACAGAAAGGACTCCAAGTTGGCCGAATTGGAGGCCCCCCTCTTTGTAATCAAGGCAACTCCTTGGACAGCACTGGGAGATCCCAGAGTCCCAGTGGGAGGAGGGAGGCAGTGCTGGAAGCCGAGGGGGAACCCAAGCAGCCCAGGCCCTCCTCCGCTCTCTAGCTGGGGAAGGCTGAAGACAGCTTGGACACATTTCTCTGCATCACTTTTTGGCTTTCTCTTACTGCCTGATTTTTATACTCAGCAGGAGACTTTTTAAATGGTCAATGGCTGGCTTCCCCTTGGGGAAACACTTGAGGATGATGACAACATTAAATTCAAATTCGTAACTTAAAAACAAACAGTTTGTTGACAAAGATGTGACTAGGTACCACACATAACACAGATATATGCCTTTGGGTTTCCATGTGCAATGTGGGCCAGGGCCAGGCCAGGGCCAGGGCAGGCTACAGCTTCTCCGGAGATCTCTGAGCCAGCCTCAGCTTTGGTGCTCCTTACCCTGAGCATCTGGGGCCAGGAGCTTTATAAGCTTCCCTTAAGTGTGAACAACAGGCACTGTGGGCCGTGGGAACAGTCCTTTTATGAGCATTATCCTGTTTTCAGGGGCTTAGCTCAGACCTGCAAAAGGAATGTGCTATAGCTTTTTAAATAAAGGTACTGTAGGTGGCAAATAAGAGAACTCAAAGAAGAATCAAAGCCAGAGAAAGAACACACCGCTCTAAAGCCTTCCTTCCTTTGCCGGCTGGTGTGAGGTTCCAGTTTGGTGACGAGAGAGGCAGCTGTTTGGTTGGTGAAAGGCTTGTAGATGAGAGAGGACGTCGGCTGTTTGTTTCACATGAGTTCTGATCCTTGGCAGAGTCTGGTGGGGCACAGTCTGGGGGCGGGCACAGCTGAAGCCCCGTGCAAACACTTGTCCATGGAAGAGACTTTTGCCACATCTGGAACTGTTGGACAGGCACAAATGCACCCGCCAGAGGTGTCCTGAGAAAAAGTGTCTGTTGCAAAATAATAATTAATAATAAAAATAAATCCGAGGGTACCGGGAGGAGAGGAAGTAGGACCGGTTACCCAGGTTTGCCCTGGGATTCTCTTAAGGCCTCCTCCAGTTTCTGCCTAAACTTGTCATATTTCTTTTGCACTTGTTGGATTTTGTCCTGCTCCTCTTTTTCCAGGATTGTTAGGAAGTTCTGAAGTTCAGGGATGGAGAAGGCATCCCACTGTGAGGCGAGACGGAGATTTGTAGGGAGAAACAGGAGAGCAGACAGGTTAGAAGTGGACATGACTCGAGGGCCCCGCTGCCTCCTTCCCAGTTCACATCCGTGACTCACACACAGTTCACTACTGAACATACCGAATCAGTGAAGCTTGGGCTTTTCATGCCTGTGGTAGCAGCAACAAAATTCCAAATGCTGGCATCTCGTGACCGAGAGTTGCCAGTCCATGAATCATGTTTTTATTTTAAGATTCAATAATCTTAAGTTTCTGTCTAGCAGCTGAGATCTTGACAGTGATGCTGGAACCACCCCAGCTTCCAACATGCAGACCCTCAGAAAGCAGGTGGAGGAGTGGAACATGGACCCAGGAGACCGGGGTTGGGCCTGACTCTACCTCCCCACAGCGGTGTAACCAGAGCACAGCTTGCCACCCTTCTCAGCCTGTTTTCTCATCTGCTGGGAAATTGGGGTATCTACCTCCCATGACTAGTAGATCAGATAATGAGAGCTTTCAGGCCTCCCCTGAAAGGACCTGATCTCTGAGGGCAGAAGGACTTCTGTCAGGCTGACCCAAGAGCACAAGCCCTATTGAGACTCCGAAGCTCTTTGAGCATAATAGAGTACTAAGGTTTTATCTGGTGTGGTCCTCACACTCGATAAGCAAGAAACCTGAAGCTCACACAGGGAAGGTGGGGTAATCACAACCACAGCTCACTGCAGCAGAACTGGAACTAGAACCCAGGCTGCCGCACTCCCAAATGCCTAAGCTTTCCACGGGGTCAGCTGCATTCAGTCACTCTCTGTGGAATCCTGTTCCAAACATGATCCTGCACAGGTGCCAATAAATAAAGCAGATGGGAGCAGAGCTGCCCTTGTTGACATGGGGAGAAGGGACAGAGTCCCAGCTGCCTTGATCTCTAAATCTCTGCAGTGACTCCCAAGACTGCTCCTTAAAACTCTAGGCCTCCACTGCACACAGTGTGACGAACACTGAGACCTTCCCCTGTCGGTCATTCTCAGGCCATGGATGGTACCAGCCTGTTTTTACCCCTGGTTTTTACCCCTGCTTTTACCCCTGTTTATGTCACAAGACTGCACACTGGTTAGCTTCCCTTGGGGTTGGAGGTCAGTATCCAAGAAAGGGGAGGACTGATGGCTCAAAAACATCTATACCCAGTGAAGCCCAGAGGTGCAGCTTGGTAGGCCTTAGGCCATTTCTTAGAGCAAAACCAGCCTGGGCCTGAGCGCAGGGAGTTCCCTGGTCCCCCTCCTCGCCGAGTTTTCAGAAATAAAGCACATGAAATCCTTTCTTTCCACAGGCCTTGCCACACACAGGCCCTAACATGCTACTCCAGGGTGCTCAGAGGCCTGGCTGAAACACTGACCCCAGCCCCATCACCCAACCCTGCTCACTTTCTCAACAGTCATCTTCCTGACCCTGCTGCGTGGTTCCCACCTATGTGGGGTAGTTAGGGCAACACCCACCTGCACCCACCCAAGGTACCCTGAGGGCTGGGTTTGCACAAGGGGCCCAGACCTACCTCCACCTCTCCAGTTTCATTCTCCTTTAGCACAAAGCTGAGGACCTCCGTGTCAGGCCCAGCAAGCAGGCGCAGGTAGAGGGGGCAGTCAGCAATGGAGAGTTTCTGGAAGAGAACTGCAAACCAAGAGACGGGGCTGGGAGCTCATCCCAGAAAAGGAGGGCAGGGCCCAGGCTTGGGGGAAAGGATTGGAAACACAGAGGTGGGGTACTTATAACTAGAAGTAGACATAGGGGCCTTTTAATGCAATGGATATGACGATAACAAACGGGGCAATAATCTTTTGTCTTGGGTGTCTGCTCAGTTCAAAGCATGATTCCATTCACACCATCTCCTGAAAGATTAGGAATGGTGGGCGGATTCCTCCCATTGCACAGAACAGGAAATGGGAGCCTAGGGTGTGATCTTCCTGAACCCACCAGCAGAGTTAGGGACACAGTGAGCCAAGGAAGCTGCCCTGTCAAGCTCTCTGCTCTTGCCTCCCTGCCCGGATTCCACAGATGTGAACACCATGCAGGCAGCTGGACCCCTGGTGCTCAGGAGCTCCTGCCCAAGGCCGGCAGGGCTGTTAGTGGGTGGGCCTGTACACAGGTAGGAAGGGAATGGTCTGGTTGGGTGCACTTTCTCCTACCTTGTCCATCCTTGTGTATCCGCTTAAAAAGTGCAAACTTCTGGGGATTGTCCACCACCATGAACTTCTTGAGCAGCCCCTGGATGACCTCACTGACGGTGGTGGTGCTGCTGATGTGCAGCTGCTTGACGGCATCGAGGGGAAGGTAGAAGGATGTCCGCTTGTCCGTAGCAGCCGCCAGGTTCACCTCCTTGATGGCATCATAGATGGACTGGGGCCGGATCCCGGCAGGCACTGTCACAGGCCGTCGGAGCTTCAGATGCACTTTGATGAAACCCGTGTAAGTGCCATCTTCACTCTGCCAGTGGGGACATGTTATGTGGGGTCAGGGCTATCCGCCTTGCATGATCATACCTGCCACTCGGGGCCATTGCCCCAGCAACACCCATCTGTCTCCTTGAGTTCTTTCCTGCCTCTGTTGACCTGGGAGAGCTGGAGGGAGGAGCAGAGATCCCTTTCCCCACAGTGGGCTGGGAGAAGACCCTCAGGATCCAACTACCAGAGACCTGTGGGGCTGCAGTGGCTTTCCCTCCCAGGAGGCTCAGGCCAGCTCCCCCAAACCTCCTGCACCCAGGCGGACACCAGTTGCCTTTGGTGAGTCCCCACTGTAAGAGGCAGGGTGTGGGGTAGCCACTCTAGTGTGTACCTCTGAACCAGGCAGGAAGCAGGAAGGTTCTATAATGAGGGCCTTGGAGAACCAGCCCACTAGATTTCCTCCTGCGTCTCTTTACTAAGAAACAGCCTTTAAGACTTAAACCCAGGTCCATCTGTGACTGGATTTTCTGGTGCCCCATCTGGCTGAATTTTGAAGAGCCAGTTGATGCCAGCCACCAGCAGAGGGCAGTGTTTTTCTACCTTCTCCCCTCCCCATTGAAGATAGCCTTTCCCAACCAGGTACGAAGTTGGGTGCCCTCCCGTCTCTGAGCACCGCACAATCGAAGGGGTAGGAAGGGAAGCAGCTGAGTCCTATTGTCCTGGCTTCCTGGGGGCCAAGCAATACCAGGCCCTTGGTCACTGTATATCATTTAATCACTTAGTTTACGTCGAAGCTCAGAGAAGTTAAGAGAGCTTCCCAAAGACACAAGCAAGTAATAAAAAGGGTCAGATCTATTTCCCTGAAGCACGTGGAGTGCACTGAGGGTCCTGGCTTCCAGATGGCCTCTAGATGCTGGAGGAAAGGGAGGGACCTGCCAGGGAGTAGCCACAGAATTTAGAGGGCGGGCAGAGGCGCCAAACCCTAAGCAGGTGGTGGAGTGGGAAGAGGGGTGTGTGAGGGGGGCAGGCACTCACCAGCTTCATGCCCAGGCAGTTCTTCTCTCGCGTGTTGTAGCTGTCGATCTTCTGCTTGATCTCCTGCAGTGTGGGTGGACGCTGTGTCTCCTCCACAGGTTTACAGACATTCTGGAACAGACACAGAGTGGAAGTGGGTGTCCAGTGGTTCTCAGGGTGAGAAAGGGAATGACCACGCCCTCCCCAAAGCCTCTCTAACCAAGAAGTGAGCACCAGCCCTGCAGGGTGGAACTAACTGCATGGACTCAGAGTGAGACAATGAGAGGTCAAATTGCAGCTGTGCCAGTGTCTAGCTGGCCCTCCTGGGGAAGTAACTCAGATTTCTCTAAGCCTCAGTCTCCCTATCTGTGAAATGGGAACAATAACTACTGTACGGGCTTAAGTGTGAAAGTGTCTGGCACTCAGGCACTGACTATGAATGTGGCGAACAAGCAGAGCCGCATTTGCCCTCGAAGGGTTGCTATGGAAAAGATGCTCCTTTGATGCTATGGGAGATGCAAAGAAATACAAGCCATGGTCTGTCTCCTCAAGGAAGTACCAACACAGCTGGAGGGACAGGTGTCTACCCGTGGTGTCAGTATATGCTGCTGATGGGAAAGACAAGAATTCTCTTAGATCCAAAGGACCAAGGACACATGGACGCCAGTTCAGGCCCCATATCACTTGCTGCAGTGCTTTTCACATAGCGAGAAGTAAGTATCTATTTGTCAAATGAATGAGTGAACTGGCAGGGATGAAGGGGTGGAGCCCTCCACCATAACAGAGGAGACAAACCGCTACTGAGCACAGGGACGCCCAGCATTTACTTAGCACCTCCCCTGTGCCAAGTACTTGGCATACGTTCTCTCATTTGATTCTCACAAACCAGAAGTCTGCAAGATCGTTTATTCTCCCCATCTTAACCCACCTCACAGGTGAGACTATTGAGACTAAGAGAACTTTAGCAACTTGCCTCATGCCCTAGTCAGCGCGTACAGAACGAAACAGAAATTCCAGGTCTGTCCTGTTGCATTCCTTCTGCGAGACCATGTGCTCATTCTCCTCATATGTTCCCAGATGCCCTCCTCCTCCCCCCGCCGGGAAGGAAAAGTGAAGAATGAAGTTGAGGAGATGGAGGTCAATGCCCTCACCTTGTAGAGAGAGTACAGGAGTGAATTCTGGGGTCAAAGCCACTGTCCCTTAGTCAGTTCTCTGGATCTCGCTCTCACGTTCACCGTTACCCACTTCCCGGTTTTATCCTCACACTGTCCCTGAGTGGCTGGGAGTGTGGGAACAGGTTGGTTGGAACCCACCCAGAATTTGCCTGATATTAGAAGTGTGGCAGACTTGGGGTGGATCAGGATTCTTTTTTGGCAAATGAGGAAACTGAGGCCCAGAGAGGGATGACTCTGACACCATCTGACACTGTCCTGTGGGTGTTTGGGTTTGGCTGGGGAATTTCACAGCTGCTGTGACGTCACACCACCACCCGGCAGGACACAGCAGGGCCCCCGTGACAGAGCTTTGCCCTACCTTCCTCCCTTCAGCAAGCCGTGTGAGAGACACACCACCCTGACAACCTGCCATCACTTCCTTCTCCCACTTTCCAATCCCCACAGAACTGATACAACGTCAGGCTCTGGCTGCCAAGAGGAGCTGGCATGGCTCCAGCCTCCCACCTCCAACCCCTCAGCTCAGCACAGCTGACATCCTCTTTTTTTTTTTTTTTTTTTTTTTTTGAGATGGAGTCTCCCTCTGTCACCAAGGCTGGAGTGCAGTGGCACAATCTAAGCTCACTGCAACCTCCACCTCCCGGGTTCAAGTGATTCTCCTGCCTCAGCTTCCCAAGTTGCTGGTATTACAGGTGTGCACCATCACACCCAGCTAATTTTTATATTTCTAGCAGAGACAGGGTTTCACTATATTGGCCAGGCTGGGTGGCCTCAAACTCCTAACCTCAAGTGATCCAGCCGCCTCTGCCTCCCAAAGTGCTGGGATTACAAGTGTGAGCCACCGTGCTAGCTTCTGATGTCCTCTTTCCATCATGGCATCATTCCCTGGCCTGTCTGCTCCTCTGTACTCTCCCCCAGGCTCCTAATCTATTAATAACAGCCTGTGCTGGGTACTTTCACATACATTATCTTACATACTAGGTATGTCATTCTTTACAGATTACAAAACTGAGGCTCAGAGAGGTTAAGAAACATGCCTGTGGTCTCCTGCTAGTAAGTGGCTAAGTAGGAACTGGAATCAAGTCTAAGGCCCACGTTCTCAATTCACCATGTAGCCACCATGGGACAGCATCTTTTGCTGAAGAGGCCGGCCTGCCACACCCATAGTGATCATTGAAAACTCCATGCTGCAGGGCTGGGATGAGCAGCTATTAAACCAAGGCCTGTAAGTTACCTGATCTGTGAAATGCTCATCTAAGATATGTCTAAGCCATGGGTCAGGCCCCAGAGGCACTATGTCACCTGTGATGGTGGGAAGGAAGGACTTCCTAACTCAAGTGAGATACAGCCACCAAGAAGCAGGGCCCAGCCTTCTCCTGTGTGCCTTCCCAGGTCTCTGGAACTGAACCTTGATTCTGTTGCAGACCACCCAAGGGCAAGCAGCCCTGGCCATCTCTCACTTGCTGGAGGTGAATAGCAAGTAGCGTGAGCCTCACAGACTCTCTTCATTTACTGTCAGCCTGTTAACCCAGGGATTCTCACAATGAAGCCTCTCATTCCTCATCCCTTCCCTTGGGTAGCTCCCAAAGCTTCCCACCCTCAGTCCTCGCCAGCTGAGCATGTGTCTATGGCACCAGGTGTGCCTGACCCTGGCCTTACCCCCATCCTGCCTTCCCTCTGGAAAACTTCCAGTTGGAAAGACACCGTTGTCTGATTACTATTATACACTCCACTCTGTCTCTGAAGCACATAGGCTGTTGCTCCTCAGGAGGTAATAGCTTTCTCATACTTGTCTATAAAAAAGAAGAGATGGAAAGAAAATTCTAGAAGTGGCTGGGCACAGTAGCTCACGCATGTAATTCCAGCACTTTGGGAGGCCAAGGCGGGCAGATCACCTGAGGTTAGGAGGTTGAGACTAGCCTGACCAACATGGAGAAACCCCATCTCTACTAAAAATATAAAATTAGCTGGGTGTAGTGGCTCGCGCCTGTAATCCCAGCTACTCAGGAGGCTGAGGCAGGAGAATTGCTAGAACCTGGGAAGCAGAGATTGCAGTGAGCCGAGATTGCACCATTGCACTCCAGCCTGGGCAACAAGAGAGAAAACTTTGTCTCAAAAAAAAAATAATAATAAATCTAGAAGCTCCTGGAAGATCTCCTTTCACAGCTTCCAACCAAGCTGGAGCCATTTCCCTGTAAGAAAAGGCAGCTGTGCCATGGCTTTCAAAGGCTTGGTTTTGAATACAGTGAGAAGCAAAGCTGCCTTAGCCTAGGGTTTCTTCTTCCTGTTCCCCTTTTCTTCAGCAGATAGACTCATCTAACTCTCCCTTTCCCACCACAAACCCGGGGAAGTGACGAAAGTGGCCACAGGCACCTCCGCCTTCCAGGGCTGACGCAAGACAGCAGCCCTGACCTCACCATTCTGAGGCCTGGCCCTCTGGCTGGTGATGGGGAGCCCTGTCTGAGAGTGCCAGAAGCCCCGTGTGTAGCCAACACCACGAATGTCACAGCCATGGAATGTCAGCAGCCAGGTCTGGGATGGCTGCTGCCCACAAAAAAAAATCTGGCAGACAAGATGTGACCCAGGGGCTGAGTGAATCACCTCCCAAAATAGGCCAGCCAGCCACAGCCACGATGGCTCACCAATCTTTTTCCACCCAAGAGCTGGTGCAGGACCTAGACCGGTGGTTCTTAAATTTGTCTGCACAGTGCAGTCATCTGGGGGATCTTTAGAAACTTAGCTGCTTGAGCTTTATCTCTGGAGATTCTGATTTAATTGGTCTGGGGTACAGTCCGGGCGTCGGAATTTTAAAAATTTCCCAGTTGATTCTAATGCACAGCAACATTTGAAAAGAACTGAAATAGACAGACGCCTCACAACAATTCCAGACCTCAAGGGTCTTCATCCAGCTGCAGAACTAACACTTGGTGCCAAGAAACACACAAACACCCCAAAGGTTTACCTGACAGGCGGTATCTGCCATGTCAGCAAGATCGATACTATAGTCATCTTCAGAGGATGAGACAAAGACTCTGATTTCTATTCACCTGCCAGATTCTTAAGTCTTCCAAGTGAAGGATCCATCCACGGGTACAAAGCGAGAAACCAAGCAGACAGTTTTGCCTCTTGGGGTGGCCCAAGATAGAGACAGAATGGGGAACTCTGTTATGATTTAACCATTATAGACAGGTTTGTGAGGTGTCTCTCCTGGGGGGCTCACACATCTCAGTGCATCTGGTGTGGAATTCATCTGCTCCGATTAAGCCCCTGGCATTGGTGGCAGATGGCTGAGCCGTTCCCAATGCACCAGGCATGTCCAGGGCATGGGTGAAAAATAGGTTTGTGCTCACATGTCCTACGCGGTAGAAAAGGACATGTCCTCTTTCAGCTCTGGAGGTGACTGGGGAACAGCCAACTAAAGAGGCTGGGTGCTAGAGGTTCAGAGCAACACCCCCACCCTGAGTGATTTTCTAATGCTTCCATTTAAATATTCCTAACAAAGTAAGGAGGACCATACCCCTGTCATCTGGGGCCTAACTCAGAGCAGATTTGCCCTAAGTTGTTTTTCTTTATCATTAAAGCAACAACAACAAAACCCTGACTACTGCATTGTAATCAATGACATATGTGGTCTTAATTTTGGTGACTGGGGAATGACCCAGTGCCCTGAGGAGGGGCTCTGAGTGAGTCACATGGCTTCTGGTATTCCCAGCTAGGGACAGGGCCCCCAGGAATGCTGTGGCAATGAGAGGGGGTCCCCAGGATGAGGGCGGACTGAGGAGGATGTGTGTCCCACCCGCTGGGCCGCAGCCATCATATACATTTGTGCTTACTTTCTCTTGACCAAAATCACAAACCTCATTTTTGCTAAAAATTTCACTCTCCCTCTTTTTGAATGTGTCAGTCTTTTCAGCCCGTGATGTGAATCATCTCACGCCCGTCTGCCCATCAGAAGTCCCTTCACTTGTCAAGCCCTTCCTGACCACTCCAGTCCTGAATGGTGATGATGATTCCCTGTAGCTAATATGTGACACGCACTATTCTACTCACTTAGCATGCATTAGCTCATTTCATCATCACAGCAAACGTATCACAGAAAACACTATGATGATGCTCATTTTACAGTCAAGGAAAGTGAGCCACGGTAAGGTTAAAGCCAACCCACATCTAAAGCCAGCACTATACTATCTGGCACTTAAGTCTCTGTCACCCAGGGGAGAGTGCAGTGGTGCAATCAGAGCTCACTGCAGCCTCGACCTCCTAGGTTCAAGCGATCCTCCTGCCTCAGCCTCCCATGTAGCTGGGACTACAAGCGTGCACCACACTCCTGGCCAGTTTTTTTATTTTTTATTTTTTGTAGAAATGAGGTGTCTTGCTATATTTCCTGGGCTGGTCTCAAACTCTGGTCTCAAGCAATACTCTCACTTCAGCCTCACAAAGTGCTGGGACTACAGGCATGAGGCACTTCACCTGGCTACTTACATTACCTCCATGTAAGTAGACCATCGGTCTCAGGCCTTCTTTCCAACTAGACTGAAGCTCTTTAATGACTTACATCATACTTCAGTTTGTGCTCTGTGCCTGCTGGCTCTGAGCATGAGGCAAATAGGAAACACTTGCTCAAGAATGTTTTGCGGTCCCCTGTGGTCTACAGTGGATAAAAAGGTCTTAATTTTTCCTAGGAATTACCATGCAGTGAGCCTTGCATTTCCATTTAGACTGAGTTCTGTGAGAGAAGCACCCGTGCCTGTCGTGCCCTCTATGGTGTCCCAGATCCCAGTGCCAGCTTGAGACATAGTAGGGGTTCAGTAAATACCTGCAGGATGAATGCAAGTGTGTGTTTGGCTCCTGACGCCCAATACGAACTACGTGATATTGAGAAAGTCAGATAATCTCTAAGCCTCAGTTTCTTCATCTATAAATTTGGGATAAAAATCCTTTATTGCCTCACAGGATTGATGTGAAGGTGAAAATCAAATGAGATAATGGGCACAAAAGTGTTCTGAAAAATCACCAAACCCATCCAGAAGCATGCATTGTGACTATCATCCCAGGAAAACAAAGCCCTGTCTCTCTAGGCCAATCTCAGTTTGCATTTTTCTTGAGTACTGCTTCTGATTGGCCATGTGCCCATAGAGTTCATTCATTCCTTTCTCTGCACCAGTCGTTGGCAGACATTTTCTATAAAGGGCCAGACAGTAAATACAGTAGGCTTTGCAGGCCATGCAGTCTGTTGCCACTATTCAACTGTACTATTGCAGCACAAAAGCAACCACTGGATGAGTGTGACTGGGTTACAGTAAAACTTTATTTATGGGCTTGACGTGGTGGCTCCCACCTATAATCCTAGCACTTTGAGAGGCCGAGGCAGGAAGATCACTTGAGCCCAGGAGTTCGAGACCAAACTGGGCAACATAGTGAGACCCTGTCTCTACAAAAAATACAAAAACTAGCTGGGTGTGGTAAACCTGTAGTCCCAGCTACTCAGGAGGCTGAGGTGGGAGGATGGCTTGAGCCCAGGAGCTCAAGGCTGCAGTGAGCCATGATTGTGCCACTGTACTCCAGCCTGGGTGACAAAGCAAGACCCTGTCTCAAAAGCAAAACAAACTTTATTTATGGAACCTGGCCACAGGCAGTAGTTTGCTCTACACTGTAGTTTGTGCAGAGTCTCCTGATGAGAATATTATTAGCCCTAGCTCCATCTTTTCTATGTCATTTCCCAGTGAAATTTCTCCAGTCTGTAGCCATCTCTCCACTCTCTGCTCTCTTAATATCTCAGATCCCTGGCATTTTGATTCCCTCATGGAGAAAGGTATGCACAGTTTTGTCCTGGTCTCCTTCTTGCTCCTGAATCATACTTCCTATGTTTCCTGTGCATTTCCTCACACCACCAGTTAATGGGCCTTTGTAACTTCACTCTCATTTCATGGACACTCTTCACGAGTAGACAAAGGCTTGGGCACTTCCCTGGATGTTGCTTACTTTCCTCCATTCTGCGATGAGGAGGCACCAAAGCTGGCTGGAGTGGGGATGCAGATAGACGGCTAGGCTCACTCCCTTGCTCAACGACTCGCTCCCAAACACAGCCCCATGGCCTCAAAGCCTCAGATTCCTATTGCAGCAAAAGTACCAGTTACCATCATCACAGATCTCTGCAGCTGCTGGCTAGTGTTAAATCCATATTGCAGGAGCCTATCGAGGGATTTCAGTGCCTGTATGGCTACAGTTGGCGTTTAATTATATGCTGCCTTTGTTTAATGATTATTTCACATGTTAATCCCATCTCCTGGTGAGATGCTCTCTGGAGGGAGACAGACATTAGTCTGGTGCTTAAGCCTTTTGGCACCCCTGTGGGGCATGGCTGAAACCTGGGCCGGCCTTCAAGGAGGTGTCAGATAAATACCTGTTGACTGGGTGGCCAGGGAGGGCAAGGCAGCCTGGGGAGTCTCAGGCCAGAGCCCACCCCAGACCCCTAGGTCACACTTAGCTGCACCCTGGGGGTCTGATGCCAAGAACACACATGGGGCATGGGGCTTTGTCTTGAGCCCTATGGCTCAGCTCTCGGCAGCTGGCTGATGAGAACAAATGCAAGACCATCAAATGACCTGTGACCTCTGGGGAGTTACTTCCCCTCTCAGAGCCTCAGTTTCCTTATCTGTGAAATCACGAAGTGATACTAGAGAAGCTCTAAGGCCCCCTTCTCAGGACTAAGGTTTTACACATAAGATAGGCTGTTTTTTTTTCATCATTGCTTCCTCTTCTATTTCAGAGAACTGAGTGTGGAGATGGGGGCCTCTTGGAGGCTAGCTAGCATGGCTGAATGGCAGCAGGAATAATCAGTCTAAAGGAGCACGAAGAACATTTCTAACGGCCACAACTTTACTTTTTCACTGACTTACTTTTTCATTGTCAGCAAAACTCTACCTTAGCCAAGCCCAAGCCAGTCCATGCGTTCTTAATGCACACGACGCAAGAAAACAAAACAAAAAATATCCCGGAAGCCATTCACCATTCGCCTTTGCCACATTTCCTCTTTCTCAGCTCTTAGCAAATCTGTCAGCAGCAATTCTTTCTCCCCTTGGATGGAAGCCATCTGCAGGCTTAAGTCAGGAGGAAAGCCTCAGGCCCCTCCCACAGGAGACTGTCCATCTGCAGCTGCCTTCCAGACCCTAAACACCCCTGCCTCTGCTAAGCCTGCCCTAAATGGGCACCTCTGCAGGCAAGGGGCAGACACCCATCTATCTGGGCTGGATTTGAAATACCCTGCTCAATGTCCAAACCACATTCAAAATGTGAGGTCAGGAGTTCAAGACCAGCCTGGGCAACATAGTGAAACCCCATCTGTACTTAAAAAAAAAAAAAAAAAAATAGTCAGGCATGGTGGCATGTGCCTATAGTCCCAGCTACTCAGGAGGCTAAGGCAGGAGAATCACTTGAACCCAGGAGGCAGAGGTTGTAGTGAGCCAAGATCGTGCCACTGCACTCCAGCCTGGGTGACAGAGTGAGACTCCACCTCAAAAAAAAAAAAATCATTGGTCCCTTTGTGATGGTCTTAACCACATGAGAAAGAGGAAGCCCTATGGGGCCTCACTGCAGGGTCCCCTCTCAGGTCTTCAAGGGCCTGTGTTCTGAAATGGACTCCACAGTCCCACTCACATCAGTGAAGGGGTTGATTTCCACAGGTCCCTCTATGGCACTGTCCATTGTCCCCCCCAAAAAAAAGGGTTGGGAGCTCCTTAACTGTGTTCTCTCAGAGGTTATTTGCAGCAGAGCAAGGAGGGGGCTTTAGCATGGAGCTTCTGCTCCGTGTGGAATTTGAGCAGCTCTGGTAGGGTGTATTAATAGAGCAGAGGGAATAAAGAGGTGATGGGTGGAGGTTGAGAATGGAAAGAGACTCAGGTCCCCAAAGACAAAAACAGAGCAGATGGTCAATGTTGCCAGTCGGTTAATAGTAACTGAATGAATTGCCTATGGGTGAGGATTGTGAAAGGCACCTTGGGAGATGAAGCAGATGGGGTGTGACCCTGTCCTTGGGAGTCTGCAGGTGACCTGAGAAGGGAAGACAGAGATGCACGCACTGTGGCACACCAGAGCAAGCGCTGTGCAATCTGGGACAAAAAGTCACCCAGATCAGGCCACTCCAGCAGACTCCCCGGGTTGCCAGCATGCCCCAGAGCCTGGACACAGGCTCCCCTGCTCTTTGAGGTGACCATCTCAGTCTCTGCACAGGAGCAGCTCAGCTAGAGTGGGTCATACTAGGGAACAGGAGCTCCCTTATAGGGACCTAGGTTCAAGCCCTGCAGGGCCTCATTATAATATTAAAAATCACCGACAGCCAAGCACTGCCCTAAAGGCTTCAAGGTCCTGATCTCATTTAATCCCCTAAATAACTCAACAGGGAAGATGCTGTTACTTTTCACTATTAGACTGCACTGACTTACATGCTGGGCCACAGGTGGCCTGCGTTGGCCATGCCCTTGGTCTTCTGTGAACTCGAGCAAGTCCACCTCACTAAGACTCAGATTTCTATTTTGTGTTGTTAAGAGATGGGGCTCTCATTATATTGCCCAGCCGGTCTCAAACACCTGGCCTCAGTGATCCTCCCTCTTCAGCCTCCCAAAGTGCTGGGATTACAGGCATGAGCTACCACACCTGGCTACTGATATTAACCTCCAGTAGACCATCCATCTCAGGTCTTCCCAACTAGACTGAAGCTGTTTAATGACTTACATCCACTTCCAGTTCTTCTCTATGCCTGATGGCTCTGAGCATGAGGCAAATAGGAAATACTTGCTCAAGAACCTTTACTAGTCCCCTGTGGCCTATAGTGGATAAAAAGGTCTTAATTTCTCCCAGGAATTACAGTGCAGTGAGCCTTGCATTTCCATTTAGACTGAGTTTTGTGAGAGAAGCACCCGTGCCTGTCGTGCCCTCTATGGTGTCCCAGATCCCAGTGCCAGCTTGACACATAGTAGGGGTTCAGTAAATACCTGCAGGATGAACACAAGTGTATGTTTGCCCAATACGAACTACGTGATGTTGAGAAAGTCAGATAATCTCTAAGCCTCAGTTTCTTCGTCTACAAATTTGGGAAAAATCCTTTATTGCCTCAGGATTAATGTGAAGGTAAAAATCAAGCAGTCCTCCCACCTTGGCCTCCACAAGTGCAAGGATTACAGGCATGAACCACCACACCGAGCCTGATTTCTTTGTGAAATGCAGTTTATACATTTGTGGTGAAGATGAAATGAGATCTCATGCCTGAAAGTGCTTAGCACAATGTAAGTACACAGTAAGCACTCCATAAATGCTGGCTAGTGGGTCTTCATCCAGATCGTCATCACCATCATCACCATCATCATCTTAGTAGTCATTTGACCAAAGCTTGGCCAGTGGGGGCCCAATATGGGACCTTGACCCCGATAGGCCCTTCAGCCAAGGCCACATTATAAGTTTCATGGGTCCTAAGCACTTTTGACTTTGGGGCTAAGGGCCCCTTCCTCCATTAAAAAAAAAGAAAAAAAAAAAACCACTGAAAATTATATTCTATGCTTACAGTGATATAAAGACAAATATATCAATATCCTATGTTAAAACACTTTTTTCAGCCTAAATGTTCATTTTGTTCTCCTGATTGTAAGAAATTAAAACATTTTTATGGGCCTCTAAAGTCTTGTGGGGCCCTGGCACTAAGCCTGCTGTGCCTCATGGAGAAGTTGGCCATGCTTTCCAGCGGTTCAGTCCTAGGTAGGATGACTGACTGTCCCACTGTGCTGGGGCTGAGGGTTTCCTCGGGATGCCGGGCTTGCAATGCTAAAACCAGGACAGTCCTGGGCAACCCTGGCCCCAGGTCTAGACTCTGGACTACTTTTCTCTCTGCTGTCCCAGGGCACTGTGTGCACTTCTGTCCTCTGTAAAGTTGCACCCATGAACTTGATTCTGGAGGTTTTCCTGACATCCCATCAGACACTCCAAGGCCAGGGCACAACTGTGGCCTAGGACGCAACTGTGTTGGCTGTTTCTGAAGAAGCTCCCTCAAGGCAGGCCTCTGGCTTGTTCACTGAGGCAGCTCCCAGAACAGTGTCAGGCACAAAATAGGGGCTCATTAAACATTTGCTTCATGTATTGAAGAAAACACAAAAGAAGTAGTAACACACACGCACCCCAAACCCCAAAATAAATACAAGGTAATTAAAATGTTCCAGAATTATATAAAGTTCTTGCACGGTTGCTAGTCCATGGACCTATTTACTTCTGAGACTGCTGAACACCAGACGAGAATTCTGCCCTCTGCTTCTGAGAATAGATGACCCAAATCCTTTCCATTTCTGTTCTCTCCTGCTCTGGGTCTTCAGGAAGCCCTTCTTCTCACCTCAGAGGTCTAAAGTTTGAATTCAGACAGAATACGGTGACACTCATTCTTCTGAGATGACCACAGGAATTTTTTCTTGGGACATCTTATGCCCTCAAGAGTTTCTAGAAGGTCTTTCTTCAAGTGCGTTTTTCTCCTTGGACTTTGGGCTAGGTCCCTGTCCCCTCTCCCAGCTTCACCTAGGTCAGCCTCCTTTCAGTCTCTCTGAGCCCTGCATCTGACCGTCCGGCCTGAGAAGTCCTTCTCTACATCTGACAGAATTGGCCTCCTGCCCCTGGAACTGACAGTGTCTTTTGGGATACCCGCTTTTATCTAGAATTAGTGGATTTTCTAACAACATCAGCATATGCTCACTTATTCCAGCATTGCTTTGACCCTCTGTACATTAGTGTTAGTGGTACAAGCCTGTCTCTCTCATTAGACAATAAGCACACCAAAGTCAGTGACTGTACTTTTTCCATCTTTGTATTCCCCAAGCACCCTGAACCAGAGTACTGTGGAGTGAATTAAGGATGGATGATGGGTAGATGAGTGAGTGGGTCCCAATACCCCATCCCAGGCCAATTCTCTCTCAAGCTCTTTCAGTTCTTTCAGGCCAATTTAGAGAGTATTCCTTTGCAAACAATATATGCCATAAGGGATTGATATGCAGAATATATAAAGAACTACTACAATGCAACCAAAAAAAACCTGATTAAAAAATGAGACAATGGACATGAACAGATATTTCTCCAAAGATCTATATATAATCTATAAGTACATAAAAAAGCTCCATATCACTCATCATTAGGGAAATGCCAGTCAAAACCACAATGAGATACTATTTCATGTCAGGATGCATATTAATAAAAACAATAAACAACAAAATGACAAGCATTGGCATGGACATGGGGAAACTGCCACCCTGTGCTTTGCTGGTGGGACTGGAAAATACGGCAGTCACTGTGGAAAATGGTATGGTGATCCTCAAAAATTAAACAGGATTATCATGTGATCCAGCAATTACATTTCTGGGCTTATACCTAGAAGATGTGAGAGCGAGGACTCAAATGTCAGAAAACCAGTATTTGAACAACCAGGTTCACAGCGGCTTGATTCTCAGTAGCCAAAAAGGTGGAAGCAACCCAAATGTTCATTGATGGATGACTAGACAGAAAGTGTGTTTTATCCATAAAATGGAATATCATTCAGCCTTAAAAAGGAAGGAAATTCTGACCCATGCTATAACATAGATGAACCTTGAAAACAGCTAAGTGAAATAAGCCAGTCACAGAAGGATTCGTACTATATGATTCTATATACGAATCATACAGTAGGAGGTTCCTAGAATAGTCAAATTAATAGAGACAGAAAATAGAATGGTGGTTGCCAGGGGTGGGGTAGGGAAAAACGGGGAGTTACTGTTTAATGTGTAAGGAGTTTCAGTTGGGGAAAATGAAAGTTCTGGAAATGGATGGTGCTGATGGTTGCATAACATTGTGAAGTTATACTTAATGCCACTGCACTACATGCACTTAAGAATGGGATCTTTTGGCTAGGTGCAGTGGCTCATGCTTGTAATCCCTGAACTTAGGGAAGTTGAGGCAGGCGGGTCTCTTGAGGCCCAGAGTTCAAGACCAGCCTGACCAACATGGTGAAACCCTGTCTCTACTAAAAAAAAAAAAAAAAAAAAAAAAAAAAAAAAATTAGCTGGGCATGCTGGCTCTTGCCTGTAGTCCCTGCTTCCCTGCCACTTGGGATGCTGAGGCAGGAGAAGAATCGCTTGAACCTAGGACGCAGAGGTTGCAGTGAGCCAAGATCGCGCCACAGCACTCCAGCCCGGGTGACAGAGTAAGACTCTGTCTTGGGGGAAAAAAATAAGAATGGTAAATTTTATGTTATGTGTGTTTTACCACAATAAAAAATAAAAAGGGCAGGGGAAACCTGGAGGCCATGTCACTGGCTGGTTTTATCTGGTTCCCATAAAGTTGGGAGCTTCCCTTACTTTCTATATTCCAAGCAAGGAGTCAATCCCACATCTAAGTGAATGGGCCTCTGTCATCCCAAGCCCTCCAAAACCAGGCTCTATTCCTAGGACTAGGCCACTCTCCTGGAGTGTAAAATGAACATGAAAAATGACCGGGACAGCCCAGCCCAGCTCAGAGGAGCTGCTGCAGGCGTAGCGGGCATGCCTGCTCAGAACCTCCCAGGGGACTGCCCAGAAAGGTTAGGGGCACAGAAGCCTGTGCTCAGAGATCGGCAAGAGGCCTCAAGATGAACTGGTCCACCTACCCAGATTCTAGAGCAAATTGAGTCAGGAGGAGTGAAAGAAATAAAAACAGGTGACCCCAAAATATATTACTTTGACAGAATTTGAGATGGCTGCCACAGGGCCAGCAGACTGAGGTGGCCCTACAAAGCTGTCCTTTGTGGGGGAAATTTGCATCTGTTGAGAATCTCCTTTAATGCAGCCAGGCCTTCTTCCCTTGTCCAGATCTAGGAGAGATTAATGGAGTCTGACATCTTTAAAGATCTGAAAGAAACATTTACTATGTTGTCTCTCAGAGGGTTGTTACCTGTGAAGTTTCATCTACGTAACAAGACCACCTTGGCTAACCAAGCCTCTCCTTCTTCCCCTCCGAAAACCTGTGTTGCCACTAAAACCTAATTTATCAACCATAACCTATTTGGGGCCGTGCTCTCAGCCCACATTCTTTCTGTAACCTCAGGATGTGTATGAGCTTCTGTACTCCATGGGGGTTGGGTCTTCATTCCCGCAAATACATGTTAAATAAATTTGTGTGCCTTTTTGCCCACTCATCAGTTTGCCTCATGCCAGTGATTTGCAGCAAACCTTCAGAGGGCCAAGGGGAAGCTCTGTCTTGGCTCCTACAGGAGATTGAGGTAGTGGGGACTTCCCAGCCTTCTCCAGATGTTCTCCCACCACAGTACCCTGTCACAGCAAGGTCAGGTCAGGTTGACATCTGGCTTTCCAGCCCCATGCATCTAGAGAGATGGATGTGCTCATAGAGTCATGGCACACTCTTGGTGCCCCAGAGCTAGGAGACATGCATTGGCGAACCACCGGAGCTGTCCATCCCCACCTCCAAATCACACCCTTGCCCTCACATAGTGGACTTCCCTGCACAGGAATGCTTTGAAAACAGAGTTCCTCAGCATTGTATAGAGTTCCAGATGTTCTTAGAGCCAAAGAGTGAAACTCAGCAGAATCTCTAGGCCTCCAGAGGAGTGGCTTTAGGAGTCTAACTCATAGGTTCTGCCTGCAGGCTGCACGGGGCTCCAGGTGACTGCGGGAGCTCTCTCCGCCCCCATGTCCTGGCTCTAGCTCCAGCTGGAGCTCCCTGAAGGAGAGGGCATTCAGCCCCATAAATGATTTAGATCATTCAGAGGCTGTGTGTGGGAGCCGAGTGGTCTCTGGAGGTGAGTCAGTACCCAGCACTGCACACACCCACACTGCCCATGCTTGCTAGGAGGGGAGGGGCAGCTTCAGACTTGCACCAGCAGCCCGGACACCAGCCTGTGCTGCCCACTGGAGAAGTGCAGCCCTTCCTGGCTTTCCTCCACCTGCTGCTTTGGGGGCTGGGGTGCCTCTTCATCAGCCTACATTAGTCCTCTCCTCACATGCTACCTGCCCTGTTAACCCCACCCCACGTTGGCAGTCTTGGCACCCAGGAGCTCAGGGATTAATATGTGATACTAAAACGTGTCCACTTAGTTATTAATTAGCTCTGCGTCTTTGAACGTGTATATCCTCCCACTGTGCCATAAAGGCTCAGGGGCAGGGAGGTTTGATCTCCTCTGTCCCCTAAACGGCCTGGCAAAGGGTGCAATATCTTCAGTGACTCCAAGAGGGTAGTGCTGTCATGAGGCTGCATTTGTGGGCATCTTTTGGCCCCACTGCTGGGCTTCGGCTACTTGGAGAATTCTGGAAAGAGCTACAGCTTAGGGGTTAGGAGCCCTGGCATTAGACTACTTGGGTCCAACTCCTATGTGACCTACTATGTGACCCTGGGCACATTATTTGACCCCTTCAGTTTCCTCTTAAGTGGCAACAATAATGTACCTACCTCGTATTGTAGTTGTGAGGATTAAATTGAGTATTTACCCATCAAGCACCTAGGACAGTACCTGACGCATATCAAGACCCGAGCACCGGCCATTACTATCACACATTCCAGCCATTTCCCAGCAGGCCCTGCGCCTGCCCTTGTCTGTGAACACAGCCTTATACCTGCATGCACCCCAGTCATGAGCCCTACCTCCAGCACCTGTGTTTCTCAAAATGGCCTTTATTATCCCCAGCCCCAGAGTTCACATGGGTTCTCACAATTGGATGTTTATCACTTACTCTCCACTGGCAGGGCAGGTCTTCCGGTTTTACGGAGGTGAAGGGTGAGGCCTAGAGTGTGGTTCCCCAAGGTCACACAGAGCGAAGGCTGGGCATGGGTTCCCAGGCCCAGGGACAGGCTCCCTTGAGGCCCGGGGCTCCAGCACAGTCTGCCCCTGCCTGCTCCATCCACTGACTGTGGGTGCCCAGACCAATGGCACTGCCAAACCAGGACCTTTCGCCCACTCAATATTAAGTTGGGAGAGTAAAATAAACCAAAGATGTATTGGTTTCTTCCTTCCCCACCTGCCATTCCTCCAGGCTGAAAGGCAGACAGAGGGAATTTGTCAGAGCAGGCTCCCCTGCCTCCTCCCATGGCCCCCTCTGCCCACCCCTCTCGGAGGCCCCACTTGAGGAACACCCAGACTGACTCCTGCCAGCAGGTGCCAGGGCTTGGTTGCTTAGTGACCCAGCCCTGCCTAACCCCATCCTCCAGGGCAAACAGCTGAACAATCACAGCTGGGGTGGAGGAGGCTGTTCTAGGTTTGAAAAGTTCTCCTTGCATTTTCTGCTCACTCAGAGGGATTTTTCATTTCTTGGTACGTGGAAAAATCCATTTATTCCACATCCAGAATCTTAGCAAGCTTCCCTTTAAAATAGTCCTGAGATCAACTTTCATAAGCCCTGTCCTAAAGTGCTTGCTCATATGTCCCCTGGGAAAGAAGCTCCAAATCCACTCCTCCTCTGTCAAACCCACACTAAGCACCTAACACGTGCCAGGGGACACAGTGATGAACAGCTATGGTCCCTGGTACAGAAAATTACAGCCCATTGAAAGGAGAGAGGAGAGAAAGAGAGGCCAGGTGTTTGGGGAGCAGAGAGAAGGGGGCATCCAAGCTATAACTGGAAAGGCCTCTAACATCCCAGCTCCACCAGCTCCTACATTCTCTTCCTCAACCCACACCTTCCCAGCCAAGTGACAGTGTCAGCATTCTAGGTGCCAAGTGTTTCTTCACTGTGCTCTGACTGACAGAGGGGACAGTGGAGATTCAGTTCTGGGGCGAGAAGACCTGCCTCATCCTCCCCACTGCAAAGCAAGTGCCCTGCAGAGTGCCCTGCATGTCATCCACAGCAAAGCGGGGGGAACAGTGACCACCACTCAGCAAGTCGGGGAAAGCCTGGAGATGAGGAAGATAATGAGGGGTTTGCGAATTGGATGCTGATGAGATGATTATGGTAACAAGTACAGTAACGCAGATTTCCCCAGACTAGAACAGGAAAAAATGGCCTGAATTTCAGCATCAGGAAACTGACTGAATGAGAAAAACTAAGCGGCGTGTGATCAAGGATGTCTTGGGTGAGTTCCTGGTGTTCCTGGAGGAAGTCGTCTTTCTGACCCCTCAAGTCCTTACGGTTTAGAGAACTTGGGAGCCAATATCTAGAATCCCTATCAGGTCCGTGAGAAACTAGTAAAAAGGGTCTGTTCCCATGCAAAGAGGCAAGGGACTCTCAGTTAGGGGGGAAGATAAGGCCAGGCTCACACGACAAGGGTGCTTGCTGAGAAGGACGGGATGAAGTACCTGAGTGTGATGGTTGAAGTGACTTGGCCACAGCCTCTTAGTGGCTTGAGCTGGATGAGAAGGCAGAACTTCGTTTATAGTTAGTGCTGTCTTCCCCTACATCATGTGCCATCAAGATCTCAACGGCCTGTCACCCAAACAGCCTTGAAATAAGAGTTCAGCATGTTGTGATGAGACTAGCAGAGAAAGCTCTAAGCAGGACCCAGGGGGCCTGACTCCTCGGATCTGTCGCTCCTGAGCTGTGTGACTGGGGATGAAACCTCTTCCCTCTCTAGGTTTCAGTTTCCAGCCTAGGAACCTCTCAGGAATCTGTGACACATTCTCATCTTGCATTCCAATTGGGGTAAGCAGTCAATTATCAAATATTTCCTAAACAGGTGGTCCCCAGATTGCAGTATATATGAGAATCACCTGGGAAGGGTATTAGAAAAGCAGACTCCAGGGTCCCATCTTCAAAGATTCAGGAGCCAGTAGCCCTGGAGTAGGGCCCCTGAAACTCCATTCTCAAAGAGTAATTCTGGTGCAGGCGGCTGAGGCCACCTTGATGCAACACTGAAGGTTTCAGATGCTACAGAGAAACCAGAGAAGTGCTGAGTGAGGAAAAGCATCCGTTCTGAAAGGGTTTCCAGTTTAGAGTGGGGAGACAGGACCCAATCCCAAAAACAGAATGTCCTCAGTGACAGATGAGAGAGAGGTACAAGGTCAAAGAAACAGAGGTCATGTCCTTCCCTAAGCAGGGATGAGCAGAGCTTCCCAGGTACCTGGCGCAGAGAAGGTGGCAGGAGGCATGCGTGGTAGAGACAGCTAAACGCTCACCACAACCTGCTTCCTTTTCTGCCAGAGCTCACAGCTGTACTTCACTTCCCAACCTCCCCTGTGGTTAGGTGTGGCCACATGACGGAGTTCCAGCCAATGGCCTGTGGGTGCAAGAAACACGCACCATTTCTGGGCCTGGCCCGCAAGCCTCCCATGTGTTATCCTGATCCCCACCTGCCAGTCTACCTTTAAGTGAAGGGGGAAATAAACCTCTGATTACATTCAATGAATGAAAAGCAGGGGCTGTTTGTTTCAAGTTAGTCTATCCTGACTGTACAGGATGCAAGAGAGAAGATGCAGCAGTTCAGCAGTTCAACCCAAGCAGCGTTTAGTCGGTACCAGCTTTTGTAACCAAGTACTTGGTGTTGGACCTGAAGGAGATGCGAGTTCTGATCTTACAGGGCTGATGATACTGGGAAGGGCCAGAGGAGGCAGCGGGCAGTGAACCCCACTGGTGTGCAGTTCGGGCAGTATCTCTAAATGAGGCTATGCAGAGGCTGTGCCAGCCTGAAATCTCTTTTGGAACTAGTCTTGAGCCGTGTAAGCCTTTCAAATGCCACACAAAACACAAACAGTCAAATGGGCCAATGGTTCCAAAGATTCTTGTTTTATTTTTATTGCTCAAATTTGGAGCTAACTTATTTTTAGTATTCTTTTCTTTTCTCTCATGCCGAGGTGGTGAGGGGCAGGTGCCATGCCTGAGGCCTGGGTGTGTCTGCTGCTAGCAGAGAGATGGGGACCTCTCCAACTTGTCCCAGGGCTGTGGGGTTGGCTGGGGTCCCTAGAGTACCACAGGGATCCTGTCCAGGGAGGAGCTGACTGGCCAGGCAGGAGACGGAAGGGAACAGGCAGGGAACAGGGAGCAGAGTAGGATCTGACCTCTAGGACCCTCTTCCTCTTGCATCTTCCTTGAAGAAAAAGAATTTAATGGTGTCACTGTAGAACCGAGAAGGCGTGGGTGGATGGAGACATGGGAGTGTGTTCTCTATGCACTTAAGTATAACATTTAACTATAGGCCGGGCGTAGTGGCTTACACCTGTAATCCCAGCACTTTAGAAGGCCAAGGCAGGGGGATCACCTGAGGTCAGGAGTTCGAGAACAGCCTGGCTAACATGGTGAAACCCCATCTCTACTAAAAAAATACAAAAATTAGCTGGGTGTGGTGGTGGGTGCCTGTAATCTCAGCTACTCAGGAGGCTGAGGCAAGAGAACTGCTTGAACCCAGGAGGCAGAGGTTGCGGTGAGCCAAGATTGCACCATTGTACTCCAGCCTGGGCGACAAGAGCAAGGCTCTGTCTCAGTAAAAAAAAAAAAAAAAGAAAGAAAAATATTTAACTATAAATATAGTCAACCTTTTGTTCTTCATATCCACAGAGAAAAACACACATGAGGAGGAGTCTCCAGTGGGAAGATAGATGTTTATCCATTAACATATTTCAATTGTAGGATATTCACCAAGAAGAGCTTTTAAATCATGAAGTTGTAAGATTACAGGGCCCCCTGCTAGTGTCAAGTGTAGGGTCGATGTCCACTTAGCTAGTGTGCCTTAAGGAGTGGAGGGATGGGAAGGACCTTTCAAGACCTGACCCAGCCTGAAGTTGTTCGCGTGTTCCATTTTGTAGAAGGTACTGAGAGGACAAGGCCTACAGCCTATCCTGGGTCACCTACTGAGTAGGAAACAACCAAGAAGAAGAGCACTTGACAAGGAGTCCTGGAGGGGTTAGTCCTGGCTCTATCCAAACAGATGTGTGGCGTGGTGACGTCCTTCCACCTCTCTAGGCCTCAGTTTATCTCTCCGTAAAGTGAGGTGCTCTAACATTCTGCAAGCAGCAGGCTATATGTGTCCTCAGAACACTCACTCTAATGCTCTGGGCCGGTGCCAGAGTCCTGGGGTCCCAGAGCCTGTTTAATAACATGCAGAGAGAGCTCAGAGGGCCCATGTCCCTGCTCAGATGTCAAAACCCTAAATGGCCACCACCTGTAGGCATTTGGGAAATTGATGGGAACGGAAGCTAGTCCCACTTCCAGGGTTAGATCCCTGACAGGAAAAAAATGAACAAATGGCAGGGATGGACAGAGGGCCTGGCCCTCTGTCCTACAAATCATCAAACCCTATCTTTTATGGGACCAAGGAAGAAAATTCTCTGGGCTAGGAGGCAAGACAGTAAGTTCTGACCCTGGGTCCATCAAAACCTTGTCCTATAACCTGATAAGTCCCCTACCCATCTACCAACACCTTAGATTGAGGTAACTATGCCGGGCTTACTGAGACCTTCTGCGTCTGTACTGCCCAAACCCACAGGCTGGCTCTCCCCCATGCCCCATTCGTGACATGCATGACCCGGAGAAACACGATCTAATTGTGCTGGCCAAGTGGGAAAGTACCGCCTCAGCCTCCTAAAACTGTGATGTGACTCAAAACCAAGTCCCAGCCCCTTTCAAAGGAAGCACATGGCCCCAGGAAACTGCCATTTTCCTAAAGGAAAGACCAAGCTAGGGCCCACGGCCTGGTGCCCCCATCACCTTTCTGTCTCCGGACCTTGAGGCACCTCCTTCCTAGGAAATGAGGAGACCTTCCCCACCCCTCCAACCTCTCCCCAAAGGGCAATGGATAGGAGGCTCGTCACTCCTGGGACTGACTAGCGACAGCTCCCACGCGGTGGCATCGCACAGCAGCGAGGCTTCCCTGAAGGTCCGTTCCAGCCAGGCGCAGGCTGAGCAGCCACACAGGTTGTTCTGACAAGGCTATTTATAGAAGCAAGCTCAGCCCTTCCCAAATGAGGGCCTCAGTCTCTCAGCGACCGGGAAACACATACACTCCTTTCCTTGGAGACAGGAAAAAGAAATTCTTTGAGGAGCTCAGACGTGATCTCTCTTTGGGGAAGAAAAAAAAAAGCACTGTAAGAGGTCAGAATGGGGTCAGAATATGGCAGAGCTCTTTAAAATACCTTCCAGGCGTGATCCAAGGGAGAAGAGAGAGTTGAAAGTGTTATTGAAGGTAAAAAGACACCTAGAAGAAGGAAGGACTGAAACCTTTAGAGGATGCGTCCCCAGCTCAGTCAGCCTCGCCCGCTTCAGTCCACCCTGCACTTGCTCACCCAGCCCTACTCCTCCCTGGAGAGATCTGTGCTGAAGGCCAGCCTGGTGCTGAGGAACACTGTCCCCGACCCCAGTCCTGAGTATCCAGTCAAGATGCTTCCCGTAAGGATAAGAGGGGCTATGCCCACCACCCTGAAGCATTTATCCCTTATCACTCTGTCTGGGGTTCAGTAAAAGGAGTTTCTTAGAAGGGATTCCTGTCTTCTGAGGACTCACAGACTCTGGCAAGTTGAGGCAGGAACATACACAGAGGCCCCAAGATATGAGGTGGATTCAAGACACGAAGTACAGGAAGTGTTTCTGTGGGCACCAAACCAAAGGTGTGCTTTCTGGAGCCAGGCGAGGAAGGAGAATTGCGGGAAGAAGGGACAGAGATGGCTGTTTAGGCCACGGAGCAAGCCGACCCCCGGCACCAACTCCATCCCAGTGTATTTACTTGTAGGATATTTCTATTTCTCCAAGAAATATCAGAAACAGCCATCTTTTCCACTGCCAAGTCAAAGAAACCCAATTTTTGCAGTGCCCCTTCCTCACCTAATTATGCAAAAATCTCACCCTCTGAAACCAAGGGCTTGCAGCCTAGCTGGCAGTGAGCGGCAAACACAGCAGCTAAGCTTTGTTTTAAAAACAGGAACCATTTCCTTCCCAGGCAGCAACAAAACACTCTAGAGACATAGTTCAAAACCTCAACTGTCTATCAGAATTACCTGGGAGCTTTTCAAAATCCTGATGCCCAGGCTGCACCCCAGACCAATTAAATCAGATGCTCTGGGCATGGGAACCAGGGATCACCAGTATTTTCTAAAGCTTCCTGTGAGTCCAGTGTGTAGCTAAGGTTGAGAACCACTGGTCTAAATACCTAGCTAGCCAGAGTACCTGTGGGGGAACAAGGGGACTTATACCATGTGGCAAGAACACTACGGAAGAGTGGGACACCTCCCTTCTGCAGCCACGGTGTTCTGCATGAGCCCCCCCTACAGCCAGGGAAAGGACGCCTGTCCCTTTGCCCCTTACCCTCTAGAACATCCCCTGCTCTCCAGCCTCATGAGTGGTGCCCCAGAAAACAGGGGCTAGTTACAGAGGCCTATTTTAGTTGATTCCTTCAAACGTAAAATCACAACCTCTCCGTTGGTTCTTGGGCCTCTTCTCACAATTGGAAGGTCCAGTGCATTTGCCTGACTTCAGAACCCAGGAAACGCAAGGGCCTACAGGTAAGATGAATTATTAACAACGGAGGCTCCAGAGTCAGGCCTGGGGAAGTTTTTGGTTCATTTGAATTGGTGTAGCACTGTTGAATTAATGATGAGCCTGCCACACACCTGTGAAATGTAACAGCTCACTTCTGTCTAGAAACAGCCCCTTCTAGGTAACCTCTCTAAGGACCTGGCTTGGAGCCCTCTCATTTAAGTGGCAAAACAAACAAACTCAGCTTTGCCTCCACTCCCACCAAGATACTGACAGGCACGAGGCCTGCAGCCAACTGGGAGAGTGACCGGGTACCCAGGCTTGCTGGGTGTCTAGAGGCGGACACCTTTATGAAACACATAGGCCTCATGCCATCAGGAAACACACACAAGCCCCTTTAGGTTACCCAAACCGACCCAGGAAGTTAAAGTGGTAGCATGACAGCAGCCTAGGCCAGAAGTTTTAGTTTGCTTCTATAAACACCCCGGACTTCTGCAAAGTTGCTGGATTACAGCTTAAGGTGGTTTTTGGCCACTTCAAATACGGAAGTCTCTACCAATGAATGTGTGTTTACGAATGTTTATCAACCGATGAATGTTTAGCCTGCTGAGAGACTGTGTTTCATTCAGTTTCCATCTGGAACTTCTAAGCTAGGATTTGGGGAGGGGGTTGTGGGGTGAGGCCCCGCAATCAGGCACAGGTGAACCTGCAGCCAATCTACCAGCCAGGCGCAGTCCCCACATTCTAGAGAGCCATTTTGAAGAGATCTAGGGACGGAACTGCTGCGAGGAGGTCTGACCAGTTGAACAGTGCAGGTCCCTGAAGGCTCCAGGAAAGTGCCTGGCCACTTTCCTGACATGTGGCTTTGTCCCTTTGCTGGGAGCAAGGTTTCCCTTCTAGACCACAGAGGTTATTCCCCACCCACGAAAGGCTCCTGCATTCCATTATTATGTTTACCTTTGAAAGGTGTTTGCTCTGCGCATTTCTGAAAAAGGTGGTCTTAGCGGTGAAGAAGCAGTCTTCCAGTTCCTCGTCCAGGCTGCAGTACCCACTGCTCATGCTGCTGTCCACGGTCATCTAGCCCGGAGCTCCCGGCTGAGGCCGCCAGCGCATCAGAGGGGGCCCGGGCTCGGGATGCGGCGGAGGGAGGTGGGTACCCCTCGCCGGGCTCTGCCCCAAGTCCTGAGCCCCGAGCCCTGAGCTCCGAGCCCTGAGCCCCGAGCCAGGAGCTGATCGGGTACCTGGCCAGGCAGAGCCGGCGGGCCGCCTGCGTTTCCTTCACCCGGTGCGGGCGAGCGGCCGGGTAACCTGCTCCTGTCCCCGCGCCGCCTGCAGAGCCCCGGGCGCCTGGCTCGTGCCTCACTCCCTGACTCGCCCGGGCTCTGCGGTTTCGCGTCCCCGGCGCCGGCGCCCTCCTTCCGCCGCCGTGCTGAGCGCCATCTCCGCACCTCCCCCGCCTCCCGCGCCTTTCCTGCCCCTCGCGCACAGCAGTTCTGAAGCCACTTCCTCTGCAAGGTTCCTCAAAGCCGGCTGGGCTGTCACTGTGCGCCCCCCACCCCGCCCCGCCGCCTGGGTGCCACCCACCCCCGGTGGCAAGTGGACTCAGGGAACCGCAGGTCCCATCAGGGATGCAGGGAAGGAAGGGACCAGGATGGACCCGAGGGCGGACATTCCCTCTGTTCCTTCTTCATCATGTACTTGCTTCTGGAAGGAGCCCATTCTCATCAGCTCCAGTGACTCAGGTTCCACGGAGTAGAAACCTGTAGAAGGTGCTAGCTATAAGAGCAACACCCCCATCCCTCCTCCCTTCTCCCCAGTCCACTTCCTCATCCCCACCCGCCG